CTTTTTCGGAGAGAGGAAAAGCCACAAGAAAAAAGACACGTGAAGGAGTCAAAATTACAAAATAGCCACTTCAAATCGGACGGTCATAAACTCTCCTTCGTGTTCCCACGTGTCGCAAATCCTTCACCTGATTTTTGCCTCCACGAAAATCCAAAGGGTCGATTCGATTTTGTTTTGTTTTACTTTTTGATCCATTAGATAAAAAAAAATTAAGAAGAAATCACACACGATTCGACTGCATTTGTTTTTTTTTTAAATATTTTTTTTGTCGTATATTTTATTTATAAATAACACTACATTTTTCATTTTTTTTTTCCCGCGAATATTCACTTACATTATACCGTACGACGCTAAGTACCATAACATCTTCGAACAAAGTACATTCAAGTACAATACGTTTCCATCTATATAACCGGTGTCGTTTCAGCTATTTATGTTAGTATAGTACATCTTTACATTTTATGGGCCACGATCAGGCCCAACATGATCACGAACTCCATCACCTTGATCTTGCTCAACACGATCTCGTGACTCCTGATCCGGCCCAACATAATCTTGAAGTCCTTGATCTCTTCCAAGAACTCGATAAGCCTCTTGTGGGACGAGTTCGAGACCGGCAACGAAAAGTGGGAGTAAGACCATATAATGTCTACGGGAAATGTAAGAGATCGCGGAACCAATGACATGGACAATGCATAACATCAAGAGATACGCGTTTAGTGTGTGCCAATAGAGCCGTCCATCGTTTGTGTAGAGCCAAAACACTCGACCGTATCTCTGTATGGTAACTTCTTCCTCGATCAGATTTTGGATTAGATCGAGCAAAGTGAAAACTAAAGTGTCGCAAGCGCATACAATGCCGAATATTTTGGCTAGATATTTCTCCTTGTCGAGTAGCTCTAAGACAAAGCAGAGGAACTCAACAAGGAATGCAACAGCAGAATGTGGTCGAAGACTTTGCCTAAAAACCACAAGTTTTATAACCGGAGTTAAGATCGGCATTTTTTAAACTCAAGTGGATGATTTAAGATTTTGTGATATAAATTGGAGAATCGAAGCTTGATGATATAGAATTAGTTCGTAGGTGGTGCTTTTTATAATGCGTGTAAATGTATGATTAATAAATGATTAGTGAGATAAAAGTCAAAAAGTTAAAAGGTCGGGAAATTCAGTGCTAATTAGAATTATTCACTTTATCATTGCATAGGGAAAGAACCAAAGACGTATTGAGGTCTTTTGTTTCGTAAATCATTGGAAGTAAGCTTTAGTTAATCCGTAATTTAATTCTCTTTTGTGATTTACAACGTACATGAATTCGGCGTGTTAAAATTATGAAAAAGTGGTACTTTGACACAGAACGACGTGTGGTGCTTAAGCCATGATGAATGCGAGTGACAATTGTATTCAGCTTATTAGTAACTCTTTTTTAGTTTTGGACCAATTGGAGTTTTACCGAGTCTAGGGTCACTTTGTTAACGAGAAAAGAGGCCGATGCTTGAAGCGTTTATAAAGTTAATAAGCACACAAAGCTTTGCAGCTCAATAAGTAAAACAAACGAGTTCGACATTGCTAGACTGAAACAAGGAACAATACGAATATGTCACTGAACTTGTTCATTCGTCTCCCTAAAACACCAGAAGAGTGTATTCTCTCATTCTTTTCCAAAATCAGTGTTATAGTGTGAACTCGACTCGAGTTTCTTGGCCTCGCTCAGCTTTCTCACCGCCTGCAGAATGTAATCACTTCCAAATCACAACCAATATTACAACATGAAATAAGCTTCAGATTTATGTATATGTATTACACACCTTCATGAAATCTTCATGGATCACGTAATCCCGCTCTGCTCGGATTGCAAACATTCCAGCCTCAGTGCATATGTTACGCAGATCAGCACCATTGAAACCCTTTTCGACCAACAAAACGTTTAGTGAGCAACTCGCTTAGGGAAAGCAACACTCACTAACTCAGCATTGTAGAAAAGAAAAAAAAAACTAACCTCTCCAAGTTTGACTATAGCCTCGTAATCAATTTCACCATGTTTGGCGATCCCAGCTGCATGGATCTTGAGGATATCCATTCTTGATTGCTCGTTTGGCAAAGGGATCTCAATCTTTCTATCTAATCTACCCGGACGGAGAAGTGCAGGATCAAGCACATCAGGTCTGTTCGTGGCCATAATCATTTTTACCTAATACATTTTACCAAACATATTTCAAACGCAGGCATCCAAACTCGCAAACATTTAATAACATTGATGATGTCAGTGTATAAGAAATTGTGTGAGACAGAGTTAGGAACAATGGCAATTCCCAAGATTTTATCCAACAGATTCCAAGAAAACCAATTCACAACACAATTTTATGCACATGTACACCAGGTTTGATATAAGAAATAATGTCAGAAAGAGCAGTACCTTTCCAAGGTTGTCAAACCCATCAAGCTGATTGAGCAACTCCATGAGTGTTCTTTGAATTTCACGGTCAGCGCTTGTTCCCTCACTAAAACGACGCCCACCAATAGCATCGATTTCATCCATGAAAATGATACAAGGCTAATAGGAGGGAAAATGTTTAGAATAAAGGCATGAATGTGATACGAAGCGCATAGACAATTAAAGAAATGAGGACGAAGCATATATACACCCATTAAAGGCAAGACTTACTTGGTGGTCACGGGCATAGTTAAACATCTCCCGAATCAGCCTAGCACTTTCTCCAATGTATTTGTCAATGATTGCACTAGATACAACCTGAAGAGAGGAAATAGATTTGATAAAGACCTCAGGGGGGTCGAATACCCTAAAAAAAAATAGCATAGCACAATATTAAACCTTCAAAAAGTTGGCATCGATGTTGCTGGCGATAGCCCTAGCTAGTAGAGTTTTTCCAGTACCGGGAGGTCCATACAAAAGGACACCCTGCATTGAGATGTAGAAAAACTTAGCATCCACGACATTATTCATATAAAATGTTTAGTAGTTCACACTGACAATCACTACTTGATGAAGACTAAAAATGGATAAAGCCTGGAATCCCTTGCGGCAAAGAAAGAAACGTTGAGGGAGAATATATACACAATAATTACCTTTGGGGGTTTAATCCCTACTCTAAGGAAAAGTTCGGGATTCATGAGAGGTAGCTCAATAGATTCCCTGAGCTCTCTGATCTGATCACCTAACCCGCCCACTGCGGAGTAGCTAATGTTGCCTGGGTCTTCATGCAGCATGTTATAAACAACAGGATCAACCTACCATCAAAATAAAAACCACGTTTTTTTTGTTAGGAGATATACACTACAAGGGTATAACAGAACCGAACACATATCCAGATCGAACTTACTTCTCGAGGAAGGGCTCGCATTATTGTTAGTGTTGTCATATCCAGAACAACTCGAGTTCCCGAGGTCAGCTTCTCCTTGTCCACTTTGCTACGGCAGCCCACCACATACCGAGGACCGCTGCTTGCTTTGACAATCACTAAAATACAAAACAAAGCAAGATTTTAGCTTCAAACACTAGACAAGCTGACTGTAGTACAACAGAGGGCACAAGAACAAAAGTCTTCAATAAGAAATAATCTCACAGAAGCAAAAAAGAAAAGGACAATTAGGTAGAGAAAAAAAAAAGATTACATCGTTCATTATCAAGTGGTCGAAGCACTTCTCCAATGATCTGACCAACACTTTGAAGAGACTTCAGATCATCCTCGGTTTTGTTGAATTCCTTTTTAGATGCTCTTAAGTTCTCTCTAGCTGCAAGAGCACAAACTCAGTGTTGTAACCACAAGCCATTTACTTTAGCTGCTCATATGAAACTCCATAGAGCATATAATTCACACAGAAAAATATTAAAACAATCATATTCGTCAATGGAGTAGAGAAAGACACTACACAGAAACATTCGAAACCAAAACAAGGGGGAACAATTAAGCAATTGAGAAGAAAACCCTAGAATTGCGTCACCCAAAAAGAGCTTAATCTTAAGCAAACAAGCAGCAATATTTCTGATGCCCCAAACTAAGGATGGTTAAAGAACCCTAGATTCAACTCAATCAAAGCCTGCCTTTCGAGCTAAGTACAGATTAGACAGAGAAAACGATCAGAAGATAGCAGATTACAACTGAATCTGGGAATATCTAAATGGGAGTCGCGGAATCGAACCTGTTCGAACACGGGCCTCGAGCTCCTTATGTTGGAGAAGCTTCTTCCGATACTCGGTCACCGCAGCGGTACGGCGTCTAACGGCTTCGTCCCCGTCGCTCATTCTCTCAGAATCCTTCTACAGATAGATCTCAGATTCCCTGTAAACGAACGAGACGATCTTCTTCTAACTTTTTTTTTTTATATATAATTCTGTTTTCTTGAGCAATGGGTTTAGTCTCTCTCAAGAGTTCTAAATTACGGATTGCTTTCCCTGGAATGACCGAAACGATGTCGTTTTGATTATTACACCTTTTTTTTTTAGTGTGCCTTAAATTATTCGTCAATGAGTTTAAAGTGCGATAAATACTCAACAAGAATAAGTCCATGTACACGACTATGATATGAAGAATATATCAAGACCGTGGCACTAAATTTAAAATCGCCACTGTTATATTATATAGTYTTCTTAAGATTAGTGAAAGACATGAAAAAAAAAGAAGAAGAGATTTTAGTCCTTTAAGAGCTTTCAGAATGAGTAGAATCCATGACAAGTTCACACTCTTCCATAACAGCAGTTTCTTTAATCTCCTGCAACATCTTCAAGACTTGCCACATAGTCGGTCTCTGTTCCGGCGATGCTAAGCTACAAAGCACCGCGATTTCAGTCAACATTCCGAATTTATCCTTATCTTCTTTCCAGTTACCATTCTTCTCGCATTCCTCTCTTATTTTCTTCACCCATTCCATCATTTCATCGAGTGGCAAAACCGGAAGCTTCGAAGGTTTTTTCCCTGTCAAAAGCTCTAACATAAGAATCCCAAAGGAGTAAACATCGGCTTTAACTGATTGATAACTCAAACTGTTGTTGTTGTGTCTTCTAGCTTCAGGGGCTTTATAAGCTGCTGCATCCGCGTCTTCGTGACCGTCGAGAGGAGGGTTTGTTGCTAGAGCAACTATACAGTAGTCGGCGATACAAGCTTCGAAGTCTGGTCCGAGAAGTACATTGGAGGATTTTAGATTGCCGTGAACAAGTTGCCATGCTTGGTGGATGTAGGAGAGACCTTGAGCTACATCTTCTGATATCTTCAAGCAAGATGTCCAGTGCAATGGCTTTGCCCTCGACGATTTCGTACCTACACAATTTTAACATAAACCTCCTCAATGCTACAATTTGTAACCAAACTAGCTATAACTCAAAATGGAATAAAAGATATACAAAATCCATTAGACTCCTCTTACTGATGGACATACAAAACCAAATCGACATACCAAACTGAAATGCTTAAATCAAAACCGAACAATAATGTATTTAGTTATAATTATCTCAAACAAAAAACTACATCAAAACCAAATCGTAAATCATACTGCAAATTTCTATATGTAAACAACAAATTTTCGAATAATCTCTAAAGATTATGGTTTAATTGGGACGTGTACGACCAATCTAATAAACAGAATTCCAAGTGGTCACTGACCAAAGTAAATATCGTAACTACTACAAATTCATTACAAGTATACCTCTACTAAGCATTTACTAACATTGATTGTTATAAAAAAAAAAGTGAAAAAAAAGAAGTATAATTGCGTATGAGCGGGCTTACGAGCTTACCGTGGACGAGCGATGAGAGACTGCCATTTGGCAGATAATCATAAATCAAAAGCCTCTCTTCTTTTGCCTGGAAAAAAGCTCTAAGTGGGACCAGGTTAGGATGCCCTAATGCTCCAACTGATTCCATGTGACGCTCAAATTTATCTCTCCCTACACCCGCCAATCTAATGGCGTCAAGCCTCTTTACCGTCACGATCAAACGGCTATCAAGCAACGCCTTGTAAGTGGTCCCCACAGTACCTCTACCCAATAACTCAGCAGATGCTGTCATTAGCTGGTCCATCGTATACACGTGTGCCTCTCCCGCACAGAATACTAAACTCCCACTCTTCGCCGCCTGAAGCTTCTTCACCTTCTCTTCCAACTCACTCTCTTGCTCCATCTGTATCACCGCCGCTACTTCCGCCGTCTCCGCCGCGTCGGAAGCTACAACCGCCGTCGATTCTTTCCCCTTTTCCCTCTCTTTATTGTCTCTCCGTCTCTTCACGGCGCCGATTAGGCAAGCGACGGAGATTAAGAGGAGAAGAGCTCCCGATAAAAACCCTAGAATCACCACGAGTCGAGAATGCTTGCCATGATTCGGCCGGGATAACTCTCCGATCTGCCCGATTTGGCCGAGCACCATCGCCGGTGGTGGTGCCTCTTTCGCCGGCGGCGATTGGGTGAAGAATTTGGTTCTCTGGTGACATTCCTTGTGGACGATCTCGCCGCAGAGATTAGGGTTTTTGAGGAACGAGAAAATACCGAATCGTAACAGAGCAACGGTTACCGGTACAGCGCCGGTTAAGTTGTTAACCGAAACGTTGAATGAATGAAGCGAGGACTGGTTCAGAGGTGGCACGGTACCGTTAAACCGGTTCCAATCGAGACGTAAGTAAGTCAACCTCTCGGAAAAGACCAAACCGGGTGGGATTGGACCGGTTAAGTTGTTGAAGGAGAGATCAAGTGTTCTTAACCGATGAAGCTCGAGAAGAGAGAGAGGAAAAGAACCGGAGAAAGAGTTGTGATCGAGAAAAAGCGATTTGAGATTAACCAAACCGGAGAAATCAGGTAAAGATCCGGTTAAGGAGTTGTTCTTGAGACTGAGAACTCGAAGCTGGTCGAGTTTATTGAGTGAGTCAGGAACGAGTCGACCTCCGAGATAAAGATCTTCAAGAACGAGACGAACAACTCTGTTACCGTAACACGTAACACCCCACCATTGACAGAAACTTGAGCTCTTCTTGTTGCTGATAAAACGAAGCTTGTTCCATAAATCAGCTTTGGATTTGAACAGTAACAGAGCCGAAGCGTCGTTGTGAGGAAACGCGCGTTTGGTGCGGTTT